GCCATACCTGAAAATTACAGATACCTGAAAATTACATACCCTCGTAGACGACTGCTCATTGCTGTGCCAACCAAAGTGATTTTGGATTTAAAATACGATTGGCTGCTAAAAGTGCTCGAGCATATAATCCGAATACTGGATGCAGAAACATAAATATCCAATGAACCAAAATTGAAAATTCTCTTAAAACATAAAGTGACAGGAGACGATAACAAAAAAGAAAAAAACAATTTGATGTCTAAAAAGAGATCCAAAGTACACCAAGGACAAGAAAAGAAAGAGAAGCCACTTCTTCAAAAGAGAAAAACTTGCACTCATTCTTGCACGACTTCTTCAGTGACATCAATAACATCCTCAAACTCAACTTCTTTAACTTCTTTAGCTTCATCCTCTTCTTCTTCCTCATCACTGATTTCACCATCCCTGAGGTTTTGCCTCGCAAGTTTCTCCTCTTCGTGCAGCGACTTCCACTGCTTCACCCATTTCTCCCATTCTTCCTTCAAAGCCTTCCTCTTCTCTCTGTCTTGTTCACTCAACAGCAACGACACATCCTGATCCTCTAACTCATACTTCTTGCTGTACTTCTTCAGATTCTTTGCTATCTCTTCTTCCTTTTCAGGAGACAGGAATGATGGAGGTCTTGGGCGCCATGCCAACTGCAACGATGAAAATTTCAGTATCATGTAACTAAACATCCATATAAATGAAGCTAGGTGAGACCATTTTTTTGGTTATATACCTGGAAGAAATGATCTTTCAGATTCCTGTAAAGCAATTTTCCATTGAATGACCAGATGGTGAACCCATTCTCCATCTCATGAACTGATGTCACTGCGGTTGCAACGTACCTGTGACAGTAAAAGAGAGAACCAATGTAAACAACATAATCTTTTGTTCTCCAATTGGAGCAAAGAGAAACCATCAATGACTTGTTTAGCTTTAAGAGAGAGTAGAAGTACCTTCCAGTTGGGTCCCATTCGATATCAGTGGCCATGAAATGTTCAGTTGTGGCCATTGTCTCGAGCTCATCCACGTTGAAAAATTCAAGCTGACCGTTGAAATTCTTCAACCCAGCAAGAATTATGTACTTGCCTGTGGGCGACCAGAAGAGGGCATTGGCTTGTTTGGCCTTCAAAGTACCAAGCTTTGTAACCCTTCCACCGTGTTGTGTGGTCTTCATCGTGTAGAAACTGACATCAGGTCTTGGTTGGTCACCATGAATCACGGCAAACCTGTGACCCTTAGGCTCCCATGCAAAAGCAATGATCTTGTCGTTCTTGTTGTCCAGCTCAAGAACCTCGATGGGAATATCCCTTTCTTTGATGCGGAAAAGCTCGAATCCAGAGTATGTGCTCTTCTTTGTCTTTGTGTAACGATCAACCTTGACAGCAAGATACTCTCCACTACTCTGCCAGTACATTTTGCAGTCGCTCACACTGAAGAGATTCTTCTGCCTCAGCTCAACCTTGCTAGGGATTTGGACAAGAGCAACCTGAAGACAGGGATATCAACATATAAACACCAAAAGTAAATTGTGGATTTAGAGCTTTTCATTTTCACAAGAAATAATATACCTTCGCAGGTTGGTTCCCACCGCCTTGTTCGGGAACAAACAGTGAAAGGATGGAGTCAGTAGGAGACCAACAGATGTCCACGACATTATCAACCTTAATGGATTTCTTGTCAATTAGGCCGAAAGTCTCGGTCTCATAGACAGATATCGTGTTTTTGCTGAGCTTTGCAAAGTATTTATCGTCCTTTCCACCAGCCCATCTGCAGAAGAAATTTTCAGGATATGAGCAAATGGAGACTATATACATTTCGACTGTATATTTTTAGGAAAATCAAAAGCAGTTAAATAGATTACCTGAAAACAGGCCAAGAGGCACCCGCAACACCACCAGGTCCTCCAATCGAAAACTCATCAGCACTACCCTTAAAATCTCTCATCATCCTCCCGGTTCTCACATCAAAGACCTTTATCTCTACTTTCTGCAAGTTAAAAAAAATCAGAAACCTTTTGCATAAGAAAATAAAAAATAGGAAGGAACAGAAGAAAAGATGAACTTACACTTGCATCCCGTGGGTTACTTGGTTCCTGGCTATGGTAAGTTACCAGGTATTTCTCACCCGGAGAGAAATCAACAAGTTTTACCTTCAAGGTAATAAACAAAAAAGAAAGGCAAAAACTTCAGGACAGGAAAGGAAAAATTAAAGATACGTTACAATCAAGAGGAAAGACAACGAACCATATTATGCTGATAACGCATGAGACGAGTGAAGGTATCAGCACCACCCCAAACAGCTGCACCCTGCTTGTGAAGGGTCACAAGGTACGTACCTAGAGGAGACCACTGCACATAGCTCTCTGTCCAGTACTGCATAGGAATTGAACATCATACTGTCTAGTCAATTGATGGTAACATTACATATACCCTTACACTAAACAGTCAAGTAACAAATATGGGATATACACAGATGTAGGAAACTTACGGAACGCTTGTGAACGAGTTCAGTGTTCTTCTGCCTAGCATCATTCCAAAAAACTTCAGTATCAGGGCCAGAGCGGGTAACTAGCTGATCCCGGGCTTTCTCATCAGTAAGCCACTTTTGCAAGTTTTCCTGAAAACGTAACAAGAACGAACAAGCACCTCAAAAGGCTGCAGCGAATACACAAATGTACATGTAACTAGTCTTCCGCAATCAAAATCATTTCACCAAATCAACCACAGAATATCCAAAATAAAGAAACTGATCAGACGGACAGAAAGAGTAATTACAAGACAAGTCCTCAAGATACATGCTAATTAGAAAACACAGCCAGATGAAATCAACACATACCCCAGGGACATACGGCTTGGTCTGAGGAGCCTCCCACTCCTCCTTCACATTCATCAGCCTGTCAAAATCATCGAACATGTTCACAGCAAAGATATGAGACTTGTCCAACTTGTAGCCATGAGTCTTCTCCTTAGCGTTTTGAGCTTCCTGCAAAAAAAAAAAACAACCAACATATCAAAACAAACTCGTAGCAAAACACATATGTTCTTCTCTTTGAGACAAGAGACAACAAAAAGTAACCTGAGGAGTGTTAAACTCAATGAAACAGTAACCCAAAGTCATCCCAGTGTTGGGATCAACAGGCATCCACAGTCCTTTCTCTTTGATAGCGCCCAGCTGGCTGTAAATCTTCTTCAAGACATTTTCAAGTTTCTCAAACTTGGTCTTAGGAACAACAGGGAGGTTATCAACCACGATGATGTTACCGAACCCAGTGTCGAATTCTAGCTGGTCGTCGTGGTAAACACCTTCATCATCACTAATCCATAACAAAAAAAAAAAAATCAGTTTCGTCATTCCATCACATCTCATTTTCTACAGATCTAACTGAGAAACAAAAAAAAAAACTTACCTCTCGATGCCGAAGTTTTCTCCAGGAGGGAGTTGGATTGAATCGAGGTTAACCTGAGACCAATCGATCCCTAACTTAGCAGCACGGGTATCAATATCGAGTTCCGCCATGTTTTCAAAAGCTTAGATCAAAGATTCTGTCTCTCTCTCTTTATAGGTATCGAGAGAGCGAATGGATTGTTGAGGAAGAAAGTGGTGGAAGCGGTTGAAGAGTTTGCAGCTGAGAAGGAGAGGAGTGCCTAGGGTTTTCTGTTTATTTTTTTGCAGTTACTGATAAGGTGATGAAAGAAGGTATATTTTGGACCTACATACTCTAAAGCCCATTATCATTACAGCCCGACTAATGTAACGTGTAATTAGTAAAGGCCATAAAAGAAGACAACAAGAACCTACGTTACGTAACATAATGTATGTTGAAAGATGCATTTTTTTGTAATAATAAAAAAATTATATATTTTTTTCCGCAACATTTTGATTTCATTGATACTTTGGTAGAGAATACAAAATGTTTAGCTAATTAAACCAAGATTACATAATTTTGGCTATGGATCCTGTCTTTTTGCTAGTTAATCAGCATAATGTGTAAGGTTTTGACTTTTGAGTAGTCCTGTGATTTCGGTTCGGTTTCTGAGTTTTGGAATTGGATAATTTCTCCGAGAAAATCAAAGTTTAATTCATTTCAATTTGGTGCGGATCAGTTTATTCGATTAGTTTGGTTTTTGGAATTACTTCAGTTCGGTTCCAAATTTGGTTATTTCCAGATTCTTCTCAAATTCTGAAAGAACCAAAAACAGTGGTAACTTATTTTTTCAGGCTAGTTGGTTAATTTTTCAATTATTTTCAGTTAATGACTTATATCGGTTAAATCGGTTATTTCTCGGTTATTTCTCGGTTATGTCCTGTAAAATCAAGCAAACAACATCAGAAACAATACATCAATCATGAAAAACAACTTATAATTGATGAACCGAGTTTCGATCCATTCTCACACATCAAAAACCAAAAAAAAAAGAGAGAACAATCTGAATCTATATCTCTTTGCAAAGATCATACATTCAAAGATGCATAGATTCGTGATGTTCAAAGATGATATTGATAGATGTTCAAAAAATTAGAGATAAGAGTAAAAGTTTGTTTTGAATCATCCTTGCCACTCCCACCTGCTCATAAATGAAGACAAAATGTCAGTGAATATGAAGAACAATAGAGTACAAACAACACAAAATCAGTAAAATGATAGAGTATCAGTAAAGAAGAAGACTACCTCTAATTCTCAGATTCACCTGGAATTTTTAGAGACTCTACATAACAAGGATGGTTAGGATTGTTGACATAAGAAAAGTTAATGAAAGTATTAAATGATTACCTATGAATCAAGTTTGCAACCTTCTCTGCATGGATGGTGTTTTAAAGCCACCAAGAAGCAGCTTATGCAAATATAGTTTGCTAGCAAGTGTTTGACATGAATTTTCTTTTATTTCTCTGGTTTAAGCTCCTTTTTAGAGAAACATCTGATTTTTTTTGAAACATCTGACTCTTTTTTTTTTTGGTTAAAACTTCTTCTGAAATTCTGTTTCCCTATTTCTTTGTTGGTAAGTAACAAAATTAACACTTCAATAAAAAAACAAACATTCGTCTACATTGCAGCTGAACATAAATAAATTAAAGAAATTGTGGTACTAAAATTAACAGCAGTAAGTAAGACACCACAAACTATATTCCATTTTTGCTCCTCTGTTTGAATTCATCTAAACCTCTCTTTAATTTACAGAAGAACAAGAGCGTCTGATCTCACCTTCTTCACCAACTCTCACACCAATCACACTCATCTTCATAAAAGACTCGGTCCATCTCTCCAAAAAACTCTCCTGATTATTCGCCAGAATCTCAACAATCTTCCTCGTCCGATCATCTTCCATGAGAGCAGAATCCGTCTGGAACAGACCCTTATGCGCCAACAAGTTCCTGTAGTACTGATTGTCGAACGTGGACGATGTCTCTGGATCGTTGTTTACGACCGTAGTCGTTGGATCCAGAGAAGATGAACACTTATTCAGAAGTGTTTGCGCATAGGAGTTGTCAAGAGATGCGTCTATGAGCTCCAAGTTACCTCTGGGATCTCTCTTAAACCTGCTGTTGAACGTGTTGCAGTGCGCAGCACCAACAGTATGGGCTCCTGAGAGAGTATTATAATCAAAAGTTCACGCTCGTTAAATCAAAAGAATCACTTAGTTACAAACATTAAGAAACATACCTGAGAGAACGACAAGATCTTGAACAGATAAGCCTTTGGAGGAAAAGATATTAATCATCTTATCAACTGTGAAATCCGTATCAATGATGTTTGGTCTGACATTTACTGCCGCAGAGACAGTACCATCTCTCCTCCCTGTCGGTATTGGAACTACCGGTCCTCCCAGCTGTCCGAAACAATAGTATTCACACCAACAAAAAACAGAGTTTTTATACAAAATATTACTTCCAACCATATCTACATGCATGTGGAATTGGTGAAATCTTACAGCTTCGACGGCGTCTCTAGCAGCAAGTACAAGGATATCAGCGCAGGAGACTATGCCCGGACAGAAGATTTCTAGGACATTTTTGGCGCTTTCTATCACATCAAAACCTCCTAAGGACGCGTTTCCAGGGTCGCTTCTCTCTGTACCGTTCCCTCGAACCAACACTGATGCATCACAACCCTGAAACAACAATGTAAAAAGTTGTCACGTTGTAATCCAAGAACCAAGAAATTGGGTGAGCGAGTAATATAACCTGGACGAAACAGTCATGGAAGCTAAGGCGAAGGAGCTTCCCAAGGACTGAGGGATCAGAGGAAGAAGCTGACCTAACGGTGTTTCTGATGATGAATTCAGCTCCAGGGCATGAGCTGCCGTAGAAGTTGAAAGAGAGATCAGCTACGGAAGAAGAAATGAGCAGATGTAGAGGAAGAAAAACAAGAAGAGTGGAGAGGAATGCATATTTTTGTTTGTAGGAAGAGAAGAGAAACGCCATTCTTTGAATGTGTCTCACTGAAGTGAAGACAATTATGCTTGTTGATAAATTTCCCTAGTGAGGAGAGAAAGAGAGAAGAGGTGGTTGCTGTGATAAATGATAACTGTAAATTGCATTTGTGTTTGTGTCAGATAGAGAAAGACAGAGAGAGATGGTTGAGTCAGGAGAATTTAATGACAATTTTTACTTCTCTTGTGCATCCATCAGAGAGAGAGAGAGAGAGAGAGAGAGAGAGAGAGAGAGAGTCACCATGCATGCATATTGACATTGTCAATCTGCAAAAATCAAGATTTGCGTTTTGGTGTTAATGCCAGAAATTGAATAGTGAGCCACACCTTTCTAAGAGTCTGAACAGTGAACAGCCACTGCATGCCATAGAATTTTGCTTTTTCTTTCTTCATTTTTTCTAAGTAAAAATCAATCACGCTAAGACCTCAGTCGGGCTTTTTTTTTGCCTTTTATAGTAGACGTCACTTGGCACACAAGAAAAAGAGAATCTGTAAAACTTAAAAATAAAATGATTTGTACTTTGTAGATTTACCTAGGATTTGATATGCAACATGATTAGTTCTTCTAGGACCACATTATTCACGGAGAATGAAATTGTAACGCATGACTGATTTATACATCCAGTTAAGTACGAGATAGAAACAAGTTTTGGTAGGTACGCCTTACCCAATATATAGTTACTTGAAATTTGGATCAAAGGATCCAAAAATACAATTGATTTTTAGCGTTATCTACTACTGGCCATTCTTCATTATATCTTAGTCTAAACCCCGAAGGATCTAGGCTCTGACTCGATTTCTATATCCGAACCAATAGTCTTAAGTTTATGAGACAACATATAGTTTGAACAAAAGAAAGCAGGCAGTGAGCAGATGTATCTTCATCCCATCGAACATAAGTAGCAAATTACTATGCAAGTAAGCTGAAAAATGAAAACCAAGCTTTAGTTTCTCAAGTAGTAGTGTGTGTTTACTTCCAACAGTATTTGCAAGCCAAGAAATGTGCAGTATGTCAACACTAGTCAATAGCAGAGATAGCTTCCGAATCCCCACTAGCTATCTTTCTTGGGTCCACGTTTACAGTTTGGATGTAACGTTTTCAAAACTTACAATTTTTGTTGAAGTTTGGCCTTTTTGTGTATCAGTAACGTAAACTGGAAAGGAAAAAGAAACACAAAGAGATATTGCTTGATCTAAAAGTTACTGTGTGTCTTTGTGTTAAAGGTCCCCAGTTTAACTGACCGTTCAAACGAAATTAATATTACATGTTGTGGTTTCAGGCCTGCGGATTAAGGCTTGGGCCCAAATCTCCTGGTAATTTAAAAAAAAAAAAGTTACTATGTGGTGGAACGCTGTGCGAAGGTAGAACAAGCAATCTAATGATCTATTTAACATTGGAACTCATTTCTGTATCAGAATAACGTTAAAGGTTCCTCAGCTATGTCTCTTCCTTTTCTAAGCTATTCTCTTCAACTCACATCTCCTCAAATTCTTTTGACTAACGTTACTCCCACAAACCAAATTAAAATCAACCAGAAAAAAACATGCACACTCACCAGTCACCAAACCACGTCTCCATCTCCTCTGCAGTTCCGCCCTGACGGGTCAAACAGAAGGAGGAGAGGTTCTGCTAAATAATTGAACTGATGTCAACAAAGAAACTTCCTTGGTTTGACATTTTTGCTAAGCCCTGTTTCTATGACAACTCAAGTGTTCATGAGCTACCTTATGACCACTCCATCCTTCTAGAGAATCTGATAGATCCGGCTCATCTCCCTATCTCTCATGACAGAACAGACTTCAGTGCTAAAAGAGAAGATGCCAAGCCGCTGGTTTTTGATGTTACAGAGCGTACCAACCGTGGTTTCGCTGGGACTTGGGGACAAGAAAAAGATGGAAAAGGGAGTAATGTACTACGTTTTGATGCTACATGTGTTCTGCAGAACATTCGAGAGTTGTGGGAAAGGACGGGGTGAAGAACTTCTTCTCAGGGGTGTTTCTATGTAGACCTACAGGTCAAGGGAAGTGTATGCTTATTACTTGGTTTGGGTTCACTAAAACATCGCCTTTGGTTCAGGAGTTACCTCTATGGTTCTGGCATGAGAATTCCTGCAAGGTATTTGAAGAGGACATGGGGGTTTCTATCGTCTCAAAACGAGGTTTTGATGAAAAAGAAAGTACCAACTAAGGAGTTATATATAAACCTTAAGTCATCAGACACATGGGTCGCTGAATATAGAAAGTGGATAGACAAAGTTGGTCATGGCATGCCTTACCATTTCGGTCATAGGACAATCTCTCCTCTCCCTAAGCTCCCTCCCGTGGTGGAACACGCTCCTGCAGGGCTCATTGCAGGTCTCTCAGCTTCTTACCCTGCAAAAGGTGGAATTGGTACTATGCACGCTCCCAATTTGGCTAACCGGTACTTCAGACATGTGATCCACTGTAGAAGCTGCATCAAAGTGATCAAATCTTTTCAACTCTGGAAAAATGTCCTCTCTGGCACAGCCGTGGCCTTCACAGCTTTGGCTATTCTGGTGGTTAGTAGACAGTGGAAGGCTGTACTATTAGCTCCAGCAGCGTTGTGCTCAGCCGCAGCTTATGCTAGCTTAAGAGCTATACAACTGAACACCAATAACTTCATTAGAAAACACAGAAGACTATGAGAAAAATGTATATTGGCATGTCTGAACTATATGTTTTTCATGTAAACGCAATTATAATCAAGAAGGTTCCAGTGTGTTTTTCCAATCTGATAACCATGAAATGTCTGTTAAAACTGATTCAAGGTACTATGTTCTAAAACTTGAGCCATTTCTTCTCTTTCTCTTTGCTTTCTACAGCATTGGAGGCAGATGCTTGAGCTGCTAATGTAGAAGCTAACGCCTTCTGGACTTCTTTCAATCTTCTTGTGGCAGCATCTGAAACGATTTGATCTTTCTTATTTCTGTTCACCATCTCTTCTAGTTTCTTTACTTGTAACTTTAAGTCCTTGACTTCGTCGTCATATGCAACCAGAGCTTTCCTGTCTACTGGACCGATGTTCTGTCTCTTTTTCACAGACTCTCTGCCATTTGCTTTCTCATGGTTGTTGATGAAACTAAACAAATCTGATTCCTCTTCCTGTTTCGCTGCTCTAGCTGCTTCTGCAAACTTCTTCTCACGTTTCCTTCTCCCACCTCTGCTCCTTTTCTTCTTTTGTTTCTCGCTTTTAACTTCTCCGTTCTTAATATGCTCAAGAGCGTGATCCAGTGACCTCTTTGGTGGAAGTACTTTCGCTACAATTGGGTCTAATCTTCCTTGACCAGAGACGCCAAGTCCCATCCCTTCACGGTAACCCATATTTGCCATCAACTTAGAAGCTATCCCTCTGGTGTGATTTTCCCACTTAGCAAATATAGCGGTCTCAGTTTGGACGCCTCTCGGTTGATTTGTGCTTTCTAAAATGCCTATGCCTTGAGTAAACTCTTCATCATAATCACTCGAAACAGATTCATCAGAGCCTGAAGCACTCCCGTCTTCTTCTTCTTCGTCCTCCTCTTCTTCTCCATCATCATCATCAGTCATATGAGCGTACTCTGATAATACCATAGCATCAGAACCTAGCTTTGCTGAGCTTCCATCATCTCTGAAAACAACTCCGCCTACTTGTAGCTTATCATCCCATGATTCAAGTTCACCAACCCTCCATATATCCAATTTACTACCAGAAACTGCCCAAATCTTGGAGCCTACCATCGACTGCTTCCACTCAGTCTGTTCATAGTTCCTTAGAGAAGATAACGGCACATCCAATCCTGCATTGATGTCCTACAGTTAACCACGAGAGCTAGGGAAAACTAATCCGGTACCAGATTGAAAATTTAGCCAGATCATATGTAGTGACAGTATGAACACAGCAAATACTGAGATCACATACCATGTGATAAACGACAGGAACTGCCAAACCGACACCTCTGTTGCAAGAAAAACTTGCACATCTGCAAGAAGTGCAGTGCAGCGTTAGTAAATGAGTCACAAAAGATCAACTGCAACAGTAACTCTGTCAAAGTTAGTCTTTCACAACCGTTGTGTATACCAATAGCAAAATCTAATCCTGCTCCATAAATACAAAAAAAAAGGCTTTTAGAAACCTAAACCAGAATGTTTTTTCTTACAAGATTATAGATCATGTGGAAAACAGAAGGAACCGAGTAAAACACCTTATAGATGAGACCATTGTTTCGTAAAATGAAATATCAACAAAACATAATAAACATTTGATAATGAAAACCGAGTGAAGGACTAAGAAAATCTTACCATCATACTCTCAGAAGTGGGTGTAAGGAAAGAGATCTTTGCAGAACCAGAGCCTTCAAAGCCAATAATGCGACCATTATACCAACGGCCATCAGTGTGCCGGAATCTACATTTTGATCCATCCAAATCCTTCTTCTCTGGCTCCAACTCATTTTCAGGCTCATCCTTGACTTCGGCAGCATTACTTAAACCATGCAGAACAATGTCAGCTTCCTGTAATAATCGAGCACGTTTTAACTGGAAAAGCCCTTCCTCGGCATCCTTGATTGCTCCAACAAGTTCTTCATGTACCTTAATAATAATAAAAACAAATATACATAACTATCAATAATTAACATTATGACTCTCTATACAATACTCAGCTTTATCATGACAAGGTGAGATTTTTTTTTTTTTTTTTTTTTTTT